TGTAGTATTATGTGTTACCTTAAAACGCTTTTCAAATTTTTCGAATTGGAATCTTAGCAACGAAAATATGATTTTTTTTCCAAAAGAGTACATTTAAGGCTTTTTGGTAGGCAATATATTCAGTCTTTTTAAGAACAAGAAAATAAGATGGTAAAAGATTGTTCCTTGAATAATTCTGAACAAGCGACAAGCAACAAACTTCCATTATTTTAAGAGGGGCCTAAGCAAAGACCACTTTTTCAAAATGACATGTACATTTTGGTGAAAATTTTCGAAAACTAAACCTGAACCGATATTTACGTTCGTGACATGTTTTCTTTATAATTTTGACCTCCTGATTGTGATTCAGTTGTCAAATTTAAGTTTCAGATAAAACCAAAATCATCAAGAATCAAAATTCGAAAACAATTTCCTGTTGTTAAATCTCTTAATAAAATCCGATTGCTGTCGTGTTTCTTGCATATTTATGATAAAAATGCCATTCGGCCGATCCCCGGGGATTCATTTTTTGGGCGAAATTACTGCAATTTGTTTGAGTGGTTAGGATAATGTTACATAACTTACATTTACATTGCGCAGTAGTGATAACATCATTGATAAAGTACCTACCTAATTTATAATAAAGTTAAATAAAAATATTTTTGTTCATTTTTGAAAATTGTATGCGTAGATATAATCATAATCAAAACTTCAACATTCAACAGAAAAATGTAACAAACAATAACAATAATACCTGTCAATATTTCGTTGGCCCTCCCCTAAGCCGTAATAATTTGTTAACCCTCCTGTGCATTCCCTCGACCAAGTTCCTTAGAAATTTCTGGGATACCCCATTCTTCCTGAATAGCATTTACCAATTCATCCAAATTTTCCATGCCTCCTTCCCTCTCTTTCATCTTCAATTTTATCCTGCTCCACACATGCTCATTAGGATTCATATCCGGAGACAAAGGTGGCCCATTCATTTTCTCAATATGGTGGTCCCTTAAATACTCATTTACGATATATAAAAAAACATTAAAAACCAGCAATCGGACAGCCGGGAATTGTTTTCGAATCTTGATTCGTAGTGATTTTGGTTTTATCTGAAACTTAAATTTGACAACTGAATCACAATCAGAAGGTCAAAATTATGAAGAAAACATTTTACGAAAGTAAATATCGGTTTAAGTTTAGTTTTTGCAATTTTTCACAAAAATGTCATTTTCAAAAAGGGGTCTTAGCTTAGGCCCTCTGAAAATAATGGAAGTTTGTTGCTTGTCGCTTGTTCAGAATTATTTAAGAAACAATCTTTCACCATCTTAACTTCTTGTTCCTAAACAGACTGAGTGTATTGCCTAAAAAAAAGCCTTTTGGAAAAAAAATCATATTTTCGTTGCTAAGATTCAAATTCGAAAAATTAGAAAAACGTTTCAAGGTAACACATAATACTTCATTATTTCAAAGTAAAAACGAAAAAAAAATATTTTTTTACAAACGGGGCTTGGATAAAGTTATTGAAATTTTTCACCGTTTAACATACCACCCTGTAGGAAGTTTACTTGACCAACCGTGAGCTTCATATCTATAGCATAAATTGCCAGAGGATGATGCTAGCAGACATCACAAACCAAAATTAAATCGTTCAAGAAACAAAAAAGTTATGTCGTTTTGAAAAAGAACGAACTTTTTGGTCGCGACACATTGAGTGGTGCGCAGTTTATTTATGTAGGTACTAATTAATACCTACACGTTATTTTTTATAAGTTTACTAATAAATACTGTTACTAAATTTGAACATTTTCAAGGGAAATTTGCTGCAGAAGGGTTGGCAACACTGGTTCTGCCAAATCATTTTCGTGTTCTTGCTGTCTGGATTACACACTAAACGAAGCGGCACGAGAGTCGTTATAAATACAGGCACACTGGCTTTAGATCCATAAAACGCCTGCTTGTAGGGACTGTGACCTGAGCTCCCATCGAAGTCCCACTTTGTTATTAAATGTAGTTTGCTCAATTTCTCGTTGCTAAGTGATGATAGAACACTTTGCTGAACAGTTATAAGACATTTCACAGTATGATTTTGAAGGGCCTGCAGGGGGACTTCAGCCGAGGTGTCACTTACTCTAATATTATTTAATTAGCATTTTTTTTCATCTTGTAATGTTTTGTATGAGGGAAATCTATCCGGATTGCTCTGTCTTATTAAATTATATTGGTATCTAGATAACTTAGCATCTATCATAAAAGTCAGGGCGTCTTCACCAGACATCTTGCACGGGCCTTTCTCGAGTTATAATATTTTCCTTTAACAATTTGGATGCTTCTTTATTCCCTAATGCCCTTAAACTCATCTGGGTGGCAAAACTTAACTCTGCACTGAGCGTTGGTTTTCGCAAGTCCTCTGTTTTTCTATATTTATTTCTGAAGAAACCTGTGTTTAGATCTTCCTACATTTAATCATCTAAAATTAAATTCAGACGAATTGGTATATCTTGCTATTTAAATCCTTTAAAGCAGATTCTGTAATAATAAATAAAAATAATTTAATTACCTTGTGGGTGTTTGTCATAAAACTTTTTGTATACCCCTTGTATAATAATTTTGAGCAAATACATACAAATCAGAAGAATATGACTTTATAATAATAATATATTGTGTAAATCGGCCCAGTATATTTAAATCATATCAAAAAATGGATTTTTTGATTAATTTTTCAGACCGATTTTTTTAACCAAAATCGCAAAAAATTTAAACTTGCCACAGTTGTTCAATCATCAGGCATTGCCAACAATACGATATGCCTCAATACACAACTAAAACTCTACATGTTTCTACGTAACACAACATTTTTGTGGCAGATTACAATGATGATTTCTTAGAGTTATTATTCGCTGTGGTTAGTATTTTTTTTTAATAAAAATTATAAAAATATAGCAGATACTTGCATCTAAACCCTCCATGTCAAAAAATTAAATTGAAATATAATTTAAAACAGCTATAATAATTATTATTTCCGTGCATATTAAAAACATTAATTATAATTAATGTAATTAATTAATTAAATAATTATTAATGTTTTTAATATGCACGGAAATAAACAAAGTAATAAACGGTACACGCGCACTCTTTACTCTTACTCTTTTCTAAGTCCTTTTTTTGCAACCGAAGAGGGTAGGGGCATGTTATCGGTGCTGAAACATTTGGTATTTTATGCGCAGGGGTATTTTTCTATATAGAGAATATATTCACTGCACTTTATTTTTCGAATTAATACCGGATTTGAGTGGATCCTGTCCCACTGTGCATCGGTACTAGGCAAAAATCAGAGTAGGGCAGTAATCGAATAAAATTGTAATCATGAATATAAATAGTAATTATTTTGGTGATTAATGATTATTTATGTAGTCATTATTCATGAATACTTTACTTGAATAATATTCATTATTTATAATCAAATTTTACGTTGTAATCATGAATAACGTTATTTATGAAAGTATGATTATAATTAATATTCATAATCAGAATTAAAGAATAAATTATGTAATTATAATCATTCTGTATAATTACTTTGGTAAATAATCCACAAAACACACATTTTATTGATAAAATTTTAATTTTAACAAAATACCATAAAAATTGAAATATTTTTTATTTTCTGATCGTTAGAAATAATATTTTAATAGTATATTATGTATCAAGTTTTATAAACGCCATTTTAGTTACGAGTTTAATTAAGCACGAGCGAAGCTTGCGAGCGAGTGTTTAATAAAAACGAGTGTCTAGAGAAGTTTATAAACAAGTTGCATACTTTACTTTATCTACGACGAACACAAAACAGAATTTAAAGCCAATTTTATTTGTTAAAATTTTGACATCTGTCAACTGTCACCCGAATTTAACCTCACTTTTTCCCAATTTATAATAAAGCTAACTTCAACCCGTGGCGTAAAATGTCGAAAAGCCACTATTGTTAACTTCAGCCCGTCAATAAAACGCCATAAAGTCACAGCTCGTCAATGTAGGAGTTAAAAGTTATTAAAAAAAAAACATGCCTATGGGCTAAGCTATAGCTTACGAAATATACACCCCATCGTGCTTGCAAGAAAAACGCACAATTTTTGATCGAAATTCACCAAAATATTAAACTAAAATGCCAATTAAAAGAAAAACAACGACTATATATTGTAATTATTATAATAATATGTATAATTAAAAAAAAATAATATCTAGAAATAACACTCGTGTCTTTAATCCTTGTTTAAGAAATTTAAAGTGAGAACAATGTAACTAAGAAAATTCATTCACTCGTTGTTATATAATTTCGCCGGGATTAATCATATACAATGACTACAATTATTAATCATTATTCTTTTCCGATAATTGACGATTTCAGTATTTATATCCACTCAAAACGTAAATAATAAATAATATTCGTTATTCATGTTAGAATGATTTATGATTACTTTGTTGTAATCATTATTCATGATTACATTTCATAAATAATAATCATAATCATAATCATAATCGAATACAATTTGCCCCACTCTGGCAAAAATTGACCTCCTCCCCCTACATCGTGACAAAATGTGACGAAGAGTCATATGACAAATTATCAAAATCCCCTACCCCCTAAAAATATTTTTCTGACAAATAAGCATTCGATTTACTTTGTTACGTAACTTTTTAAGAAACCTCTAGGGCGTGACAAATCGTGGGGTCCTTCAAACTCCCCCTCCAGCGCCACGATATTTTTAATTTTTCATATGATATAACCTTAATTATAAAAAAACAATAATGATAACAGTTTTATAATAAAACTTATACACGATCTTTTCATTTATGATTTTTTTTTTCAAAACCCCTATTTAATTTTTAAATTATTTTTGTAGTTAGGTAAAATATATAATATTCAGTAATCCTCAATAAATAGATACTATTAGAGATTTTCATGCATAACAAAGAAACCAAAAATTACGCAACAAAATAATCACTTAAAAAAATTAAAACATTTTGTTTACTTGACTAAACTGTTGCGGTGGCGGTGGTTGCTGAACGCTTGGGACCGGATCCTGGCTCTGCTGCACAAACTGAAAACTCTTGATCTGCTGGGGCGTTCCTGCTGGAGACACGTACGGTAAACTGGGACTCGTCGCAGTAGTAGTCACGTTCGATTTGGTCCGCACCGGAGACGTTTTAGCCGAACGTCTTTTCGGCGAGGTATTCGTCTCCTTTGACAGGATTTTTTGTGGCGACGGCGGCGGCTTGTTTGTAGTCATGTAACCTGGAGGGTTCTGCGGGTCATAGTGGTAGATGGACCCGTCGTGGTTTTTTACAGGTTTGCCAGTCTAACAAAGAAATATGGTCAATTTAGAGAGTTGACCTTGCGACTGATAGTTTTGTTTAAATTAGTTATTCATCACTATAAACACGAGGAGAAAACTTTAACATGCGACTAAAAGATATATTGGTTGGAACATAAAAGCTTTAAGAAAAGTACTGCTAATTTCACCAACTTAATTTAGAAACTTGACTCTGCGAGTGATAGTTTTGTTTAAATTAATTATTTATTCATCACTAATAGTGATTCACTATAAACAGGAGTTAAATAGTATATTCTGTAACAAGTTTGGAATACGGCATATTCCGTTCGAGTGAAAAGTTTGTCACACGAGCCGAAGGCGAGTTTGACGGTTTCACGAGAGGAGAATATGCAATTCCAAACGTGTTTCAGACTATACTTTTTCTACGTTTCCAAAAAAACTATAGAAAAATAATTTAATTGGGAGAAAGTGAAAAACTTTTATGTGCGGCTAAAAGATATATTAATTGGAACATAAAAGCTTTAAGAAAAGTACTGTGAATTTCACCAATCAAAAAGAATGCAAAAGCATATAGGTACATAAATGTATATTTTTATAAATATTATTGTGTTGTACCTTTGTATATGGTAAAGCATAAAAGGTACAGAAATAATTAATATATTATTATGTTTTGCACTTTATAATTGTTTTGTTTTTATCGGAAAAAAAACTGCCTACTTAATCACAAGTGAACAAAATTACATAAAAATTGTAAAATGGAATATAGCTATATAGGTACCTACCATGGAGAAGGGCAGTAACTGCTTGACAAGAAATTTGTGGGAAATTAGCATAAACTACATTTTTATAAAAAGCAGTGATTTTTTTAACGTTGACTGCATTTCTGTGTTGAATTCGGATACAAAATGTCCATAGCTTTACCGCATTTTGCATTTTTTTTTAGTTACTGCCTTTCTCCATAGTAGGGTATATAAATATATTAATATATTTACTTCTGGAAGTATTTAACTAATCAGATTATTTAGTATTTTGGTGTTGGTTAAATGATTTAACTTAAATCACAGGATACAGTAAAACAACAATGGTATCCATTGTTTTGAAATTGTATCTATAGGTGTTTAAATAAATTATTACCTAAGTTGTGAATTAAATGTTTATAAAATTTGTTTTAAAAACATAAAATAATAATAATATTAATATTATTATTAATATTTATTTATTATTTATTTAAAATACGGTCTAATATGTTAGACCGTTAGGTTATACAGTAGAGTGGCCCAAAAAAAAGAATATTTTTATTCTTCTCGTTTCTTGTGAAAATATGTTGGTTTGTCATGTTTTAAGAGCCCTGTCAAAATATCAGCTCGATTAAATATTTTGTAGGGGTCGCTCAAGATTTTTAAAAATTTTCAATTTCAAATTTTCTACTTTGAGAGTTAAAAAAATCTTGAGCGACCTTTAGAAATTTAAATATCGATTTGAAACTTTCAGAATCATTGCTATTTTTAAATTAAAAAATAATATCGGAACGAGAAAAAAAATTAAAATAAAAAAATCCAATTTTTGACGATTTTGGTAATTTTTAAAAATTTTGAGCGACCCCTAAAAAATTTTTAATGGTGCTGATCTTTTGACAGGGCTCTTAAAACATGACAAACCAACATATTTTCACAAGAGACGAGAAGAAAAAAAATATTCTTTTTTTTGGGCCACCCTTTAATATATTTAAAAGAGTTTAAACGGGTTTTGGAATATATTAAAACTGTATTCAAATTTTCCTCATACCCTCTAAAAAGTCAATTTTTTTATAAACTAAATTTTAGTCTTAAAATTAATTCCATAAAATTTGTATGAAAATAGCTATTGCTCAATAAAGTTATATTATTATTATTATTATTATTAAACATATAGTTTAACATTATTAGGGGAGAGTGGGTAGAGTCTGGACACTGGGAGACAATGGACAATGGACGAATTTCGCGGTTCCAGTAAAAATTTCAGGTTGGTTCTACTATTACACATCGTCAAGTTGGTAAGGTATCAAATAGTGGTAGTGAAATAAGTTTGAGTTTAGCTGTAGAAGAGGTAAGTGGAAAAGTTTATTTTCGAGTTTTTTCATGTAATATTTTACTTTCCCCTTGTAAGCTTTTCTGTCCAGACCGTTGTAGATAAATAATTATTTATAAATAAAAAAATAAATTATAATTTAAAGTTACTACATATTAAAGCATGTATAAAGCATGGTACTTTTGTTATATCCTTACTTTATTCCGTTGCTATATTTTGAAATTATGAACATTTTTTTTGTTTCACAACATGTAGGGAGAGTTTGGACACACTGTCTAGAGTCTTCCTCTATTGTCCAAACATAGTCCCGGCACTTCGTTAGCAGAATATTGCAAAAATTAAACCAAGGATATACAGTCAAATTCCTTAAAAGGCAGTTTCTATTATACAGATTTAAAGAAACACATGAAGATGAAGCCTTGGTGGATTTTAAGGACGTGGCATTGGTTCTTCCCCCCACTGACGGAGTTCGATTCCATAACATGATTTACTTTAATTTTAATTTGTCGCAATTTAGTATTGAATAAGTTTTGCTCTGATTTTTTCAATAAAATTCCTAAATTTATAATATTTTTATAGTGTCCAAATGCGTTGTCCAGAATCTCCCCGTATGTGGGGTGACTTTGGACAGATGACCGAAAATTTTCAAAAATTCGTAGCAAACCCATCTTACGGTTTAAAGTGCACATATTTATCTCTTTGCGTTTTCAAAAGTCAACACTATTACCTGAAATTAGAAATAATTACATTTCTAAGAGACCTAGGCAAAAAAATCTAAAAATTGTCCAATGTCTACCCACTCTTAGGAGATTTTAGATTGTCTTTAAGAGGGTGTCCCGAAAATGGCCCACTAACGCCAATTTTTCTACAAGTATTTCTTACTATGCCGGATGTAACACATACAGAGACCTGCATAAAAAACGGCCATTGCTGTAGCATCGTTATTCCTTATCCGATTTTTAAAATTCAAAAACCAGTTTAAATGGTATGATGTCTTCTATGATTCGACGATTAAAAATATTTTTTTTATTATGATGCTTGTGAGGACTGATAGTCAACTTTTATTTTTCAAATGACAACTATATTTTTTTATTATTTTTTCGCATTTCTTATGCTTTTCTGAGCATAACGGTATATCAATATCATAATTTTAATTATAAAACACGAAAAAAACAAATAAAACTTCGAAAACTTTTACATATCGTAGAAGCATCAGGATACCCACAAAATGCTTCCAATTTAATAAATATGCGTATCCATGGTTACGGCTTTTTTCTCTATGAACGTCAGGCGTTTTTTATTTTGAAACGTAAACACAGTTCATAAAAGAAATGTAAATAACTAAATAACCAAACCGTGTGAGAAGATTAGACACATAATTTATTCAAATATGAATAATTTTGAGTTAACTGATATGATTCAGATTTATTTTGAATGTTTTCAAAATTCAAGATAAAGATGTCTGCTTTGTTTGAACAGAAGCTATAAAATTTATTATGATTATTATACTATATTATGTATTACTTTGGTTTTGTTTCAGTATAAAATTAAAAAAATCTGTTTGTTTTATTTATGCTGCTTGGCATTTTTATTTTTATAAAAGTCATAACCATGGATACGCATATTATTAAATTGGAAGTATTTTGTGGGTGTCCTGATGCTACTGCGATTTGTAAAAATTTTCGCAGTTTTGTTTTTTTTCCTTGTGTTTTATAATTAAAATTATGATATTAATATATCGTTATGCTCAGAAAAGCATAAGAAATGCGAAAAAATAATAAAAAAATATAGTTGTCATTTGAAAAATAAAAGTTGACTATCAGTGCTCACTAGCATTATAATAAAAAAAATATTTACCATTCAAACTGGTTTTTGAATTTTGAAAATCGTATAAGGAATAACGATGCTACAGCAATGGCCGTTTTTTATGCAGTTCTCTGTATATCTAAAAAAACGTTTGTTTTGAATAGGGTTTTAAAGTCTCGAAAAAAAACGGAAAAATGGGGGAAAAACCTTTTTTTGCCACGCCTTTGAAAATTGTCTTTTTTGGGAAAAAATTTAATAAAAGTAGGAATCAACATATAACATTATTTTAATAAAAAAAATATTCATTATTAAAAGAAACAATAAAATTAAACATTGAATTGAATTTATTTGATTTAAAAAAATTAACTTAAAAGTTAAATATACTGTCGGTTGGGTCCTTTTTGCACAAGGAAGTCGATTGAAGTTTTTTTCGACGGTTCAATTTTTCCGGATATTTTAACACCATAGTTTTGAAAACAAAATAAACAAGGAAGCTCCTATTATAGTTGACGGATGTATTTTTTTAAACATTTTGTCAAAAAAATATAATTTTATATCATTATAACTTTGATGTTACAGATTATAGATTACAGATTTTAACTTTTTATTTTTGAAAAGCCATTTAAAAATTGTATTTCTTTTACGCCTCTTTGGGTACCTAAACTCTGTATAAAATTTTGTTTTAGTAGGTACCCAGACAGCCAAGTATCAAACTCAATTTTAGTCATTCAGCGTAAAACTTTTATATATATATCTTTTACTATTATACCTGTGGATTAATGATGACACTGCCTTTGGGCACGTTATGTATATCAGTAACGGCCCACACGAGCTGCTCAGGAATCCTGGCTGATTCGTCGTCGGTCAATGCAGAGTCTTGTCGACTGGCGTCGACAGGATGTGGCGTCGACGTAGGAGACGGCGTGACGGATTCCGACATTTGCGATTGAGATTTGTAACCGGAACTCGAAGGGCTGAGCCTCCACGATACTGAACTGCATCCTGAATCTGAAATTGAACCGGATAATATTTATATGCTGGATAGATGCTGATTACGTTCAATAAAATTTAATTATGATGAAAAGGTCTTTACAAAAACCTACCACTTAAACCAAAATAAACCGTAGTAAACTATAGGCAACGGTCCTTAAGTCACAATTATTAAAAGAGCTTAAAATAAACAGCTAATAAAGTATGAGTATAACTGGCCCCATTGCCTCATCTCTCCCGAGCCCCGTACAAGCTTTCGTTATACTACGCCGATTTTTTTTTCGCCATCAGCAACTGCACGGCTTAAGCCTTGTTTGCTTGGTGCGAATGTCCACCGCGTCCGGTACTGAACCCTATTTGGGACTTGAGGGCACATGCGAATAGTTTAAATAGGATGCTGATTAATAGAAAAATATACAAATTGCCCCATTGTGTGAGAACCGTTAACAAATCATCAGTAAAGGAAATAGATACCAAATATATTATCTCACTGTGCGTATACCTTAGCTTTATTTCAGTATTGCCCTTAAAACTGATGTGTTGGCATCAGGGGCGTAGCTACCGCGGTATCAGCCGTATAAATGATACGGGGCCCCCGGCTAGGGAGGGCCCGATTGGCTTCGACATGCGTAAGCAAAAAAACATATTACCCACATGTTAAAAAAATTGAGGCATGAAATTAAATAAATAAATAAATAATATTATTATTTAATTGTTTATACTTCAATTTATTAAGTTAAAATTTTCCTGAATACCCTCCTGTTCCAACGAGGCCGTGAACTCATACGAATTGTTTATGCCCGTACCTTGTGCCCGCTATGCGTTTTCTGCGGCGCAGTCTGCGCATATTGTTCTATGCTCTGCTCCGCATACTGCCGTGTTAAGCCAAATTAAGTATTAAAGGACAAAAAATCATTTTCATTGTTAAAACAATACAAACTATCTTTTGTCCTTTATTATTTAATATTGCAGATAGGTACGGGGGTTTAGCTTAGCACGGCAGCATTGAGTTTGCTATGCGTGATATTATCATAGGTTATATTAATAACAAATTAGAAATAATTATTGGCGTTAAAATTATTTTACATGAATTGCCTTTATTTTAAAATAGAAACATTTTAAAAGATGTTAAAGAACGGCTAAATTTTAAAATTTTCCTGTACATAAAAAGCTATGTATACATATATTATTTATTAAATTATAAAAAATTGGTAAATGCAAACCTAAAACCCAAAAGCTAAAAAATTTTTTTTCTTTGCGCAAAATAGACTTTGGGCGTGACACCCACAAATTTTATTTATTTATTTAGTGTTTTAGTGCTAGATTATGAACGTTTTGTGCCGATTTATTTGCGCTCCTGTGGGAATGATCTTTTTCTTACTTGGGTGGTTTTGTTTTTCTAGTTTAAATGCGTTCGAGGGTTGGTAGAAAATACAAGATTACTTTATTAGTGGAGAATTTAAATTAAATCATACGTCTTAAAGCTATTTAACTTATCGTTTGTTGCTGCGATCCACTTGACCCTCTCTTTGGCTCTTTTGGAAGGTACATTGAATTCACCTGCACAGGTAGTGTACTGATTCGTACATTATTTACTGGTAGAGATGTTGTATTGCACTGCACTACTGTATTAGCGATTTACTGATTCTGTCAAGGCTTTTATTACTTCCGTACTCTTTAGAATGATCGCATGCACGCCTGTACCTTATGATGACTTAAGTCGTACTGATTAAATAAACAGCTAATAAAGACATAAAAACCCACTTTGCTTAGTTTGATAACCCATTACTTCCCTAGAGGTTTCGCGGTCACGGTGACAACTAGGTCTTACATACCCAGTCTTAATATCCCAGCAAACAGAAAAGCGTGAAAAACACGTGACATTTTGGTAATATTTCAACCAAAAGACGTGTTTTTTACGTATATTATACGAGTTATCAACGTTGGAATGTCACATTTTTATGAAGTATTTTGTGGACGTAATTAAAACGTGTTAGTTAGACGTAAAAAACGCCCCCCTTAACGTGGTTAAGACGATTCTTAAAGACATCTTTAATACGTCTTTACGTCCATTTTAGACGTCTTTAAGGTAAAAAATTGACGTGTTTTGGTTGTTAAATGATTTCTCAAAAATAGTGCTGTTTAATATTAAATGTTAAATTTTATAAAAAGCTTTTGCTAAAAGTAAGTAGTGGGGCCCACTGCTTACTTTTCGCAGAGTGAGCCACATGACCAGCTGTGTCTCTTCAAAACTTACAAGCAGAAGCGGTATGGTCAGTAATTTTGCCTTAGTAAGAAATTCTTACTTAGCAGCTTAAGGCATTCCACCTTTATAGGGCTATCTATTGTGCTACAGAGGCGAGAGGTATGCATGGGTTGCCTACATATTGGCGAATTTTGAAACATTTTGATGACGTCGCATTTTCGTCTGATTCTGGTATGAAATAAGTGGTCAGATGAGAAATATACGTCATTTTTACGTTTTATTTTGACGTTTATTTTTACGTCTTAAACGTCGTTCGTCATTTTCTGTTTGCTGGGTACTTAGGTACATATTTCGTCTAAATTTTACGTGTATCAAACGTGTTTTTAAAATTTCCCAGAATTCCTGTGGTAAGTACCTTCTTGATTTCGACTAAAAGAACTGTATGGGAAGTTTTTTTTATGTTTATGTAATATTTTTAACAAATATAGTAATTTCATTTTTGTTAAAAAATTCTCTTTTTCCAAACGTTTATTTCACGTCAATATTCCGTTACTTTAAAACTCGTTAAATAACAACCAAAATGCGACGTGAATAACAGGAGTTGGTTACAGCTCTGTTTTCTGGGATAGTGTTTAAACGGTGAAAAAAACAGATTGTTTTAAATAGGGTGAATATCGGGTTATGGTCGAAACACCTTAACCGTATGCTGAAAGGGCACAATGATATATGAATCGACTATACTATAACCGCAATAGACCTATCCCATAAAACGTACTTTTGGATAGCGCGTGCGTGAAAAGGCACGTCGTCTTTTTTTAATTATATAAAAGAGAAAGAGATACCACTCTTCTTCAGGCACGCGCTATCCAAAAGTCTGTTTTATGGGATAGGTCTATTGATTGTAAAGCAAATCAAACGTGAATTGACTATTTACCGCAACCTTATCGTAAGCATGAAACCGTTAGGGTGTGACTACTACATTTAAGGTATCTAATATGCATTTCTCAATGGAGCAAAAGTAGCCAACGTTTTATAACTCTACACAAATGGTACTCATGGTAAGATTCGATAACTCTCACACTTGTTGTGGGTTTTATTATTTTTCTATCATACATTTTAATATACAATATTTAAAAAAAATAGGCGAATCGGTGTCGGTGGCGTGATTTTTACGCCATGAATACATTATGTATGCGACATGAATTTATTCTATAATATCCCTGTTGTAAATGACCGACTAATTCCTTATAGAAACCAATTGAAGTATTGGTTGGTATCAATAGGTCTGAATTGGACTGGGTTTAATTAGGAGCGATATAAAACAGAAATTGGTTTTTACTGGTATTTTCCATGATGGAAAAGTCCGATTAGGATTCTACTGTTTTTTAGTGGTTTCGATTGGTTAAAGCTACTCATAGGTAATTTCCAATTGAATTCAATTATGAATTCCCAGTGTGAGATTCTAAAAAGGAATCTGCTAATTTATTATTCCCAATACTTAAAATATCGCAAGAGGGCTCTCGTGTAGTCCTCGTACGCAGTCCTTGTTCGAATGGTTGAGAAGCCATTATAAAGAAACAAACAAGTCTTTGGACGCTATTTAATATATTTTTTTAATAGTCCCTTTCTTTTATAATCTATGGGTTTCTGTGCTTAGTGGCAGTTGAAACTTATAGTGGTATGTACTTATACCTTAAAAAATTGTTTATATGTGTAAGGTTTAGAGACGATGGCGTGAGAATGGTGGTTACAGCGGACAAAAAAAAAATTGACATAAAAAATATTGATTTTGTCCATGCCTACAAACATCCTTTGCAAGAAAGACAAAAAAATGATTATGTGTTAGTAAGTTATATGTATCAATACATATCTTACACAACCCAAAAAAATAATAAAAAATAAAGTTACTCAGTTATAATAATTTTTTGTCTCTTCTGTGAAAAATGAATTCTGGTTTTTACCCGGTTATTCTTTTGGGATCTTAATTATTTTTGAATGAAAAATCAACTGGTATTTATAATCCAAATTTAAAAAAATAAATTGGTTTGAATGGGTTTGGCGCAATGAATTACCAATTCATTCCAGGTGCATTCCTATTGGATTTAGCCCATAGAGACAAGCATAGGCAAGGATTGGTATATTCCAATTTAAGCCGCTGACTTCATTGGAACTTACCAATAGGAATGCAACTGGAATGAATTGGTGATTCAAAGCGCCAAAACACATTTCAAACCAATTCAAACCAATTACTTATTTTTTATTGGATTCTACAATAGGGATTGGAAATTTTCAGGAATTCAAGCTAAGAGAATTCTATAATCTTTGGGGATTTTCGAGTTTATATCATGACAATCGCATCCTGATGAGCTCATCCTGTGATTTTTTATCATGCCTGCTTGCATATTCTGGATTTTTTTATCAATGTTTTTTAAAAGTACGGATTCTATAGCTTATTTAATATTCAAGCTAAGGCTTTGATTAATTTTTAAATAAATTATTCTACATGAAAACAGACTGCATGGATCTTTGGAGTGATGGCAATTCTCAGATCACGATAGCTTTTTTCAAGGCTGTGCGATGTCTTCCAAGTAAGCCGGTTCCAATTTTGTGGAAAAACAGGAATTCACTACATTTCGAAAATCGTTAAAGGATTGAATATATTTTAAGCACTCCAGACTATATAATCAAGCGGTCGACTTTTCCTAAAAATGATTTACATGTATTTTCTGCAAACGCAGGGCATCCGTGAATTCATGAAATGTAATGTTATGTATTAGCAATTATTCCCGGTAGAAATAACTTATTAACACCA